AATTACCTTGTATTTTTTTCCCCACACCAATAAGCAATACTCTGATACCAGCTGGATGTCCTTACAACTTAAATCAATCCTGACATTATCTACCTAGAGATAGTGTCAGATCCCACAGATTAAGGGCTTAGTCATGCAGTGGTCCCCTTACTTCAGATGCCAATTTTAAGTCCAACTTGTCACCTGTGCTTCTGACTAACTGGCTATAGATTGGAGGTTCCCAAATCCCTTCCTTGGATTCAATTAATTTGCCAGAGCATTCACAGAACTCAAGAGAAACATTTTACTTACTAGATTACCAGCTTATTATAAAACAATATAACTCGGGAATAGCCAGATGAAAGAGATGCATAGGGAAAGGTCTGGGCAAAGAGCACAGAACTTCCATGTCCTCTCCAAGTCTTCCATGCCACCCTCCCCAATCTCCATGTGTTCACCAACCTGGAAGCTGTCCAAAGCTTGTCCTTTGATTTTTACGGAGACCTCATTATGTAGGCATAATTGATTAATCCATTGACCATTGGTGCTGGAACTGAATTTCCAGCCTACCTCCCCACCCTGAAGCTCAGAGAGTAGGGCTGAAAATTCTAACCCCCAATCACCTGATTGGTTCTTTTGGCAACCAGTCTAATCTCCCCCCCCCCCATGTTTTAACTTCTAGTTAGTTAACATACATGATAAAATTGGTTTTAGGTGTAGAATTTAGTGATTCATCACTTACATATTCATCACTTACATACACCTAGTGCTCAGCACAAGTGCCCTCCTTAATGCTCCTCACCATTTAGCCCATCCCCCACCCACCTCCCTCAGCCGTTCTGTTTGTTTTCTAGTTCAGAGTCTCCTATCGGGGGCGCCTGGGTGGCTCAGTGGGTTAAGCCTCTGCCTTGGGCTTAGGTCATGATCTCAGGGTCCTGGGATGGAGCCCTGCATCAGGCTCTCTGCTCAGCGGAGAGCCTGCTTCCCCCTTTCTCTCCGCCTGCCTCTCTGCCTCCTTGTGATCTCTGTCAAATAAATAAATAAAATCTTTAAAAAAAAAAAAAGAGTCTCCTGTGGTTTGCTTCCCTCTCTCTCTTTTTTTTCCTCCTTCCCTATGTTCATCTGTTTTGTTTCTTAAATTCCACATATGAATGAGATCATATGGTTTGTCTTTATCTGACTGACTTATTTCACTTAGCATAATACCCTCTAGTTCTATCTACATCATTACAATGGCAAGATTTTATTCTTTTTGGTGGCTGAGTAATATTCTGTTACAGATATATACATACACATATATACACATATGTATATATACACATAAGTATATATATGTGTATATGTGTGTATGCATATGTGTATATATATATGTATATATATGTATATATATGTATATATATGTATACACATACATATATGTATGTATATATATATAGTGTGTGTGTGTGTATACCACTTCTTTATCCATTCATCAGTTGATGGACATTTGGGCTTTTTCTATAATTTAACTATTGTTGATAATACTGCTATAAACATCAGGGTGCGTGTGCCCCTTCAAATCAGAATTTTGTATCCTTTGGATAAATACCTAGTAATGCATTGCTGGATCATAGGGTAGTTCTATTTTTAACTTTTTGAGGAACCTCCATACTTAACATAATAGCCTCTAGTTCCATCCATGTCGTTGCAAATGGAATGATTTTGTGGGTTTTTTTTTAATGGCTGCATAATATTCTATTGTATATATGTACCATATCTTCTTTATCCATTCATCTGTTGATGGAAATCATGGCTCTTTCGACAGTTTGGTTATTGTGGACATTGCTGCTATAAACATTGGGGTGCACGCACGTACCCGCTCTGATCAGTACGTTTGTATCTTTAGGGTAAATACCCAGTAGTGCAATTGCTGGGTCATAGGGTAGTTCTATTTTCAACTTTTTGAGGAACCTCCATACTGTTTTCCAGAGTGGCTGCACCAGCTTGCATTCCCGTCAACAGTGTAGGAGCATGCCTCTTTCTCCGCATCCTTGCCAACACCTGTTGTTTCCTGACTTCTTAATTTTAGCCATTCTGACCAGTGTGAGGTGGTAACTCATTGTGGTTTTGATTTGTATTTCCTTGATGCCTAGTGATGCTGAGCATTTTTTTTCATGTGTCTGTTGGCCATTTGGATGTCTTCTCTGCAGAAATGTCTGTTCATGTCCTCTGCCCATTTCTTGATTGGATTATTTGTTCTTTGGGTGTTGAGTTTGATAAGTTCTTTATAGATTTTGGATACTACGTTCTGCCTATTTCTTAACTGGATTATTTATTTTTGGGGTGTTGAGTTTCGTAAGTTCTTTATAGATTTATAGATTTTGGAGACTAACCCTATATCAGATATGTCACTGCAACCAGCCCATTCTTTTTTTTTTTTTTTTTTTTTAGTTTTTATTTATTTATTTGACAGAGAGTAGGCAGAGAGGCAGGCAGAGAGCCCGATGTAGGACTTGATCCCAGGACCCTGGGATCATGACCTGAGCCGAAGGCAGAGGCTTAGCCCACTGAGCCACCCAGGTGCCCCCAACCAGCCCATTCTTAAAGTGGCCTTTGGGAAAGTCAGCACATTAACTTGTCAACAGGCACTTTTGGCTCTCATCACTTAGGAAATTCCATGGGTTTTAGGAGCTCTGTGCCAGGAAAGGGGATGAAGACTGAATGTATATTTCTTATTATAAGTCACATATCACAGAAGTTAATGTAATCATCCCTGGTTAATAGCTGAGACTGAGCCATTGAGAGAACTTGCACAAAATCACCCAACTTTTAAAAGGCAGGTCGGGCTCATTGTAACCCAGGTCTTTAAGGCTTCAAAAACAACACAGCATGGCTGGGAAGAGCAAAGGTTTTGGAGGTAGGCACCACCTGAGCTTAGTGTTGCCCACATTCCAAGCGCAGGACCTCAGGTAACTCCACTAAGCTTTCTCAGCTTCACCCTCCTCTTCTGTCTAAGAGAAATATTCTGTAGGAGAGGTCTGAGAATGAAGTGAATTGGTGTATGTAAGACGCCTGTCACATGGCCCCGAGAAGTGCTAGATTTCCCACCCTCCCCCTCTGTCACCCCCGCCTTCCAGCCCAGGCTCTGTCATCTTCCCACCACATCACACTGTTCCCAGCCCAGTATCAGAAACCAGGAAGGAACACGAATGAATGATTGAAGAGAGAAAGCAGTAAGTACTATAGGAACAGATAAGCTTTTTGAGGATGACCAAAAAGGACTTTGTAGAGACAGAGATACTAAATTGATCTGAAATGTTTGACAGATTTCAAAAGATAGAAAATGGAAGGGAAGTCCCTGAGATTCCACATAAGGTCACTAGACAGGGCCTGGGGTGGGGGTTGGGGGGGTGGAGGTGATGGATGTGTAAGTATTCTGTAGACCAAAGGGCCACACTGTGTGTGAAATCATGTTATTCACCACACTGTGTGAAATCATGTTATTCAGGCCGTGCTTTTGTGCTAGGTTCTAGGCTAGCCCTGGGCCACAGGACTTCAGCTCATACTCCAGGCTGAGGCTGGACTTGGAGCCCTACCCCATGGAGCTTCCCACTGCCATCTGGTGGTCATCAGGAGCCCAGGCCCCAGCTGGAGGGGCTGACAGTAGAGCAGTATCATCAAGGCAATCTCCTTGAGAGTGTGACAAAGCGTATGAGCAACCCTATTTCCACCCTCTGGAAAAGTTGGCATGAGAGAGAAAGGCCCAATATCTTGCCTTCAGCAAGTCAGACCAGCTGGGATTCTATTTTTAACCAGCACTGTTGTCGTTGACAGCTTGGAACGCTTTCTCCCTCCCTTTCTTCCTGCGTCCTGCCTCTTACAGCCCAGGGCCCTGTAGAAAGGATGGATGGGAGCAGCCTCAGCACTGGTAAACAGAAGACCACTCTCCTTTCTCACTGTCCTTCACTCCACCGGGCCTTTGTCCAGCCTAGTTAGTGGGAGGAGTTGGAGGTGGTACTGTCTGTGAGGTCAGTGAGCCTTGAATCTCAGGGCTCCTCACTGCACAGGCACCTTCCAAGGCCCTGGTCAGTGTCCTAGCATTTTCTATTCTTTTTCATTAAAAAAAAAAAAAAAAAAAAAGACACCCAGTTTTATAAGCGCCAGGCCTCACAAAACTTAGGTCTGCCTCCTGATGGTTTCTTTCCCATCTCTAGCTCAGTGTCTACTTCAGTACGATTTTTTCTGCCTTGTTCTCATTTATTGTATTCTTTCCTGCTCTGAGTCTCAGTTTCCCCATCTGTCACAAGACGAAGTGTCAAGAAAGCCTCCCGACATATCATATTTCTGATTATCATGTATGTTCTCTGGTGAGGGCATCTGTTCTTCCCTGTCATTGTGTGTGTGTGTGGAGGGATGATGTTGCTGTCTCTTGCCTCTTTCTGGGGCTGGATCAGTCTTACAATCAAAAGGGGGCCAGGCTCTGGGATTCCTCCTGTTTGGATCCAGTATCCGCCTCCCCGCTTTGTTGCTGGCCAGTAAAGGTGTTTCCACAGGCAGAAGCTTAGCCAGATTCTGACGCAGAGAAGAGTGCATAAAAAATGTCCCACTCTTTAACCTCTGTACACCTATCATGATTTGAACCCTGGTGTTGCAAACACACATCAAATAAACCAAAGCTTATTATACAGTGTTTCCTCATACCATGTCAATTAAATTTGAGTAAGTATCTATTAATATAGTATCTTCGCAGTGGCACAGCTTCAGGAGAATATGCTAGGATATATATCATATATCATGGATATCCTACTGCAACCCCTACGCCCAGCTACCGTGTATGACACTGGCGTTTAGGTGAGTCCAGGATGACGACCCAGAGAAAATACCCACATCCCCCTCGAGCCTCAGACCATGGGCTTCTTGGCAGGTGGTCATGCACAGGAGCGAGCAGCAGGAAGAGGGACCTGACAGGGAGTATTCTACAAAACCCTGTGCCCCTCATCTGTCCCCCAGAAAAAGTCCAGAAAGGAAGTTCAGGAGGAAGCCAAGTCATTTTTATTTCTCAAAGAGTTTGGGTGAGGGAAGAGGGGCACGGCCATAGTATGGAACTGGAAAGGAATGAAGGGACTTTTCAGTGCAGAACAATCTGTTGGGTCAGGGAGGTGTGAGATTAGGCTGGGTGGTATTTTCAGTGCTGAAATGGGGAAGGGCACTGTGAGGTCAAACTGGGGGTGGCCTGGAGCATCTCAGGACTTGGTACTGTGCCCGGATCCGGAGCCTTAAAGAATCAGTGCCATTACTGTGTGTATACGAGAGGCAGGCCAGCCTCCCTGCGTTTCCGCTAAGTACGGATAGTCCATTGCTAGGGATGCTGTGTGTGTGTATGTCTAAGGTCAGTGCCATGTTTGTGTGCGCCAGGCTCAGTCCCATATCAAGAGTGTGCCTAATTTCCTGTGTGGGAGTTTAGTTTGTGTCAGGTAAGCTAACTGTGCTTGTGTGTGCATGTGCACACGCACTGGGATTAGTCCATGCTTTTGGGTGTCAGTGGGTGTGTGTCTCTTGTGTCAGTGGGTGTGTGTCTCTTGTGTGTCTGGATGGGTCCCTGCTTGTAGGAATGGGGGTGTCCCGCCTCAGCCTCCGCTCCTCCTCTGCGCCTCAGCCAGGCCCTAGTGTGCTGATGGTGGTGTAGCTCAGTCTGGACAGTGAAGCAATGGAAGGGGTGGGAGGGTCCTCATCGGGAAGAGGCCTGGGGCGAGCGCGTGGAGGCCTGGGGCAGCAGCGGGCACACGTCTCAAGGCAGGCCTGGCGAAAGCGACGGTGCATGAAGCAGTAGACCAGGGGGTTGACACAGGCTGAGGCGTAGCTGAGCAAGTGGATGAAAGAGATCGGCGCCCCTGAAAGTGCGCGGTGTGCGCCAGAGCTGTCGAAGGCACGCCACGTGTTGGCGCTGTACAGTGGCAACCAACACAGGAAAAAAAGCACAACAATCACCAGCAACATCCGCACCACGCGCTTCTTAGCCAACAGCTTGGCCTGGTAGGGCCGGGGGCCATATCCTGGCCCAGGAGTGGGCGCGGTCAGCGCGGACAGCTCCAGGGTCTGCCGGGAGCGCGGAAGCTGCACGTAGCAGCCGTCACCGTCCTCGCCAGCCAGCCCATTCCCCAACCGGCAACGCCCAGTCGGGTGGGCGGGACCTGGGCACAGAGGATGGTGGTCAGAGCCTCGGGCTGAGTTCTCTCAACCTCCAGCCCCAGCCCCAGCCCCAGCCCCACCCTCACCCCCACCAGACCCCTAGTTCCAGCCTCTTTGCCTACTCCGGCTCCTTTCTGCTCCACCCCCTCTAGGCCCCGCTGCTGCTTCCCAAGAACAGGGACGGGGTGGGGGTGGGGGTGGGTGGCTGGATTTCACGCACCTGGTCCCGCCCCATTCCGCAGCCCTTCTTGGCTTCGGACTCGGCTCTGGCTCTCGTTGTCACTGTCTTCATCAAAGCGAAGCCCTAAGTAGAGCTCACGGGAGATGAGTCCGTAGGCCACAGCCATAACCACACCCGGGACGAAGAACAGAAGCAGGAGCAGCAGTACCGACCTGGAGACAGAGCACATCACACAGTATCTGTCCACCTGGAATCAGCGATGGAGGAAGAGCCAGGGATTTCTAGGGCTGGGATAGAACTAAGATTTGGGGGTGCTGTTGGGAAGGGCTAGAGAACTGGAGAGCGGCGCCAAATGGGAATCAGGGTGGTGGGAGCGGAAAGGTAATTGGAGTATTGGAGGAGGATTCTGGGGACTGGTAGTAAGCAACTGATGGAGACGGAGAAGGGAATTCCTAGGAATAGGTAATGAGCAACCTCACCAGGTTTGGCGGACACGTGCATTGGGCCAGCGATGCACGCACTGCAGCACACGGGACGCTCCTGCTGGCTGCACCACGGTGTACACTGGGTAGGGCACCATGAGCAGTCCAGAGAGCATCCATGTGGCTATAATCACACGAGCTGCGTGGGAACGCGTCTGCCACACGCGTGCCTGCAGTGGTCGACAGATGGCACTGTATCGCTCCAGGGCGATGGCCACGAGGCTCAGTGTGGACACACTCACAGACACCCCTAAATAAGGGAAGAGGAAGGGGTCACTTAGGAAACTTGTGTCACACACTCAACCAGTGTGATTTTCTCAGCCCCCACAGGGAAAGACCCTTATGTATGGCAAGGACTTTAGGAAAGGGAGGGGCAGGGGGTTGTCTCACCTACCCATGAGGTAGGAAACCGCCTTACAGACGACTGTGCCAAAGATGAACGTGCCCATGAGATTGGGCAGGAGGGTGAAGGGCATGCAAGCCACAGCCAGCAGGAGGTCGCTGACTGCCAGTGAGAGCAGGAAGGCGTTGGTGACAGTCCTCAGGCGGCGGCTCAGTCCCAAGACCACGATGATGAGCACATTTCCTCCAACACTCATCAGAAAGATCACTGCATAAAGGGTGACCCTAATGGCCAGCTCCAATTCTGGATTAGGAAAAGGGAGAAGTGGCAGTAGGGAGTCTGGCTCTCACTCAGCCAGACCCTCCAAGCCCACATATTCCCCACCTGGGCTACCCAGCTAGATCCCTCTGCCTCCCAGAAACACCTCCTCCCACACGGTGGAGAACTTGAATCCTCCAGGCTTCTAACCCCTTGAGGCTTAGTGAAATTGGCTTGACTCCTCCTTGAGAAAGTTTGTCGCTTCTCAAGCTTTGCTCCAAAATCTCCCTTCTCTTTACAGCTCAATTTCTTGAAAGGATTATCTGGATCTCCTCATTCACCCCTCAGTCCATTACAGTCCAGTGCCCCATCTGTCTCCTCCATGACCATTTGGACACTTCTTCCCAAGATCATGAAGATTTAACTGCCAAATCCAAAGGTCTCTTCTCAGCTTATTTTACTTGATCTCCCTGTAGCATTTGGCACTGTTGACCACCCACCACCTTTTGAAACACAGGTCAGGTCATGTCCTTATTGTCTAAAAATGAAACAAACAAAAAACACACAAAAAAATCAAACCCCTTCACCTGCTCTGTACTATCTGCATTCCTCTGGCACGTCTTCCAGATCCTCTGAGAACTGTCCTCTTCCTCCCGCTCATCTCCTCTTGCAAAGCACCCACTTAAGCCACCCGATGACTCAGTTTCTTGAAGGCTTCATGCACACTCATGACTTCCTCCCTCGCTAACATGGATTTCTCAGTCTGGAATGTTCTTTCACCAGCCCCCATCACAAACTCATTTTCTGTATCTGGTAAATTCCTATTTGCTCTTGCCCTTCAAGACTCGGATGAATAGCCCCCTCTTCTGTAAGGACTTTCTAGATGCCTCATTTGGAGTTAATCTCTCCTTCCTCTAACCCATTCGTGTTCCTTAGGTATCTATTAGAATGCTTTTTCTTTTCTGCCTTGTATTTTAATTATCTCCAAACATTCATTCTCACTCAACAAACATGTACAGAGGACTCCTTTATGCTAGGCACTAGGGACAAAGAGATGAACATGACAAATTCCCTGCCATGTGCAAGCCCATGATCTAGAGGGAAACTTGGATATATAGACAGATTTAAGTGCCACACTGTGTGATAAGGAGTGACGTTGAAGAATATACAAAGTGCTGTGGGAGCTCACAGGGGCGACACTAGTGTTGTTGGGCTAGACAGAGGGCTGACCCCATTCATTTGTGTCATTGTCTATTGGGGGATGGATTCATCACAGCCAAGCAGACCCAAATGAAATTTAATTGAATTAAGTTGGACTCAGTCATTCAAACCCATGGCCTCAGCATGAGGGAGACTAGAGCTGGAAGGGAGAGAGGGCAGAGACAGAGCCTTTCAGGTTGTGGGGAAGGAAGGGCCCAGAGGGGTAGCCCCCCTTTCTGCAACCCCATACATTGACTCTTGCCATAGGCTCTGAATTAAACTATTTTCATAACAATAACCAACTTACTCAGAAATGGTTTCAGGCATCCAGTGCACACTGTTTACAAGAGATCCTTGAACAGAACCCAGCAGTGACATTACTTGCTCAGATCACACAGGTAAGTAAGATGCTGAATTAGAATGGCAGCCGAGTCTCCAGATCTCTAAAATGCTCTGCCTCCTACTAATTCCTCACCCCTCTGTCATTCATAATGCTGCCTCCTCCCAATCAAATCTCAATCTCAGTGCCTTTTCCTGCCTCTCTGTACTCCAGTGTGGCATTGCTCGCTGTATTATGTTTAACTCTCCCTCACTGGACTCTGAGCTTCTTGAGGACGGGGGCAGGGCCCATCTTGTTCTTCAGCCTACCCTTGACACTTAGAGTAGTATTTTTTGCATATGGGAGGTGTTCACACATGCTGGCTAATGGATTTTGAATGAAACTGTCACTTTACACACAAATGCACCTGCTTTGTCCTTCTCCATTCATGCTTCACCTCTGTGCCTCTAAAGCTCCAGCATGCCCTCTTCTCTCTGTCTCTGTTTCTCGGGAGACTCATGTCACCCTCTCTGCAAGGAAGGCTTATGTGTAGCAAATCTGAAGGGTGTGTGTGTGTAAATAAAGAACATTTATGAGGGAGAGCTCTGTCAGAGAGGTCCTTGGACCCAGGAAAAGAGCTGGTAGTCTATCCCATACTTTTTGTGTCTCTTCTCAGTGCACTCTTCTTCCCCCAACCCACCCCTTTCCTTACTCTCTCTAGTTCTATCATCTTTCTCAGATTCTTCCCTGGATGTCTCTTTTCAAATAGTTCTCGCTTTTTTTTCTTTCTTCTTCTTCTTTTTTTTTTTTTTTTTTTTTTAGAATTTATTTATTTGAGAGAGAAAGAGAGAGAAAGAAGGGGGGCGAGACAGAAGGAGAGGGAGAGAGAGAATCCTTAAGCAGACTCCCCACTGAGCAGAGAGCCCAAAGCCCACGCTTCATCCCAGGACCCTGAGATCATGACCTCAGCTGACATCAAGAGCCGGGCGTTTAAATGAATGAGCCACCCAGACACTCCTTCAGCTCCTAATTCTTGAATCAATCAAGTTGGTATAGCACTCTAAAGTATAGAAAGCACCTTTCTCATTCATTCATCCAATTGATGTGTCCCATGTGTGTCCTTGAAGTTGGTAGAGCAGAAAAATGAGACTATGCCCACCCTTATGAAGGTCCCAATTTGCGTGGGTCTCCAGAAAACTAGAGTCCCAGTAAAATTGCCCAGCACTTTGCGGTTTTGCTGGGCATTCCCAGCTATCACCTTCCAGCCACCGCTATCTCTCCAAGTCTTTGCTGTTGAACCATTAGGAGAAGTGAAAAAGAAATCTTAGAACTAGGAGTCTGAGGAGGGGGAAGGAGGGGTGAAAAGGTAGAGCACAGGATTTTTAGAGCAGTGAAACTATTCTTTATGGTACTATGGTAGCTAGATGTTATTACACATTTGTTGAAACCCATAGAATAGGGGCGCAAGAGTGGCTCAGTGGGTTAAAGCCTCTGCCTTTGGCTCAGGTCATGATCCCAGGTCCTGGGATCGAGCCCTGCATCTGGCTCTCTGCTCAGTGGGGAGCCTGCTTCCCCCTCTCTCTCAGCCTGCCTCTCTGGCCACTTGTGATCTCTGTCAAATAAATAAATAAAATATTAAAAAAAACAACCCATAGAATATATAACAAAAAGAGTGAACCCCTAATGTACACTGTGGAATTTAGTTGCCAATATATCAATATTAGGTTATCAAATATAACAAATGTTTTGGCTTAATATAAATATTATAAATAGGGGAAATTGTGTGTGTGTGTGTGTGTGAGAGAGAGAGAGAGAGAGAGAGAGAGAACTCCTTGTGCTTTCCATTCAGTTTTCCTGTAAACTTGAAACTTCTGTAAAAATAGTCTATTAGTAGGATGCCTGGGTGGTTCATTCTGTTAAGCATCCAACTCTTGATTTTAGCTCAGGTCTTGATCTCAGTGTGGTGAGTTCAAGCCCTGTGTTTGGCTCCATGCTGGGCATGGAACCTACTTAAATACACACATACATAAATAAATAAAAGTCTAATAGTTTTCTCAAAAGTGACAAAAAAGCAACTGGAAGGAAGACTTGTGTGTGTATTTCTGTCTGTATTTATGCATCCCTATGCATTTGTGTGGTGGAATAGGAGTGATCACAGTGGCTTCAACAACTGGCAACTTAAGGTAGTGGTGAAAGAATGGGAGAGGCAGATATCATGCCTATTATCTAATATTATAGATATGACCTGTGGGCATCGTCCTGCTGAGCCAGAGAACTCAGAAGACTGTGACAGCTCATTTCTGCTTCTGGGGTCTAGGGAATCTACATTTGTTCTGTCCAGATGATGGCAGAGAAGTATAAGCACAAAAATCCAGATAATGTGCCGTAAAACAAAAATCAGGACTTTATAAGAAATGACACTGAAGCTGCTGATGCCTCAAATCCTGCCTTCCACTGGTATGTTAGATCTGGTCACCCATGAACACAGACATCAAGGTAATACCCATGTGTCTGTGGGAGCACGGATAGCATCTGATTGTAGATAATAGCTGGGCATATGGGGTACTAACTGAGGGGGCAGAAATAATGTGGAAGGATGTGTAGTTAATATCAGAGTGAAAATTGGGTAACAGTTTAATTTTTGAGATAATACCTGGGTGGGTGAGAGTAATACCTATTTTTGTGGACAAGGTGTGAGAAGGGTAACAGCTAGGTGTCTGTAGGTAATGCCTGATTGAGTGGGGGATACATGTAGGTTTAGATAATATCCGAGCAAGTGTCGTAACATTGGTTCCAATGTTAGTGTAGGTGCTGCTGTGGTGAGCAAGAGCAAGAGCAAGGCCAGTTGTCACATTTGAGTGAACGAGAGTAGTATCTGTAGATACGTTTGTGGATAACATCTCATTTTGTAGATAACAACTTCAGGAAACATGGATTACATCCAGAGGTCTGAATGTGAATGGGGGAGTATCCAAGTGATGACGGTAGCAGCTGAGTAAGCAGAAGTAATATCCAAGTATGTGTGGGCAATAATTAAGTGCGTATGGATGTGAGATGTTAACACGTTAAGATATTAGCTGAGATATGAATCTGACCGAGTACAGTAACTGAGCGCCTGAGCGAACACAGGTAGCATTTGGGTCTTTGTGGATAATATCTGAATGCGTGAGAGTAACGCCTGTGATTTTTATGAGTAGTATCTGGAAAATGTTGTTTAGGGGACCACGGGCAATATCTATGTGTGGATGATAAAACGAAAGCAAGTGTGTTTGGTGGATGAGTGACATCTAAATAATGTGGGCAATGTTCAAGTAACTGTGGGTGACATCTCTTTTTCAGTGGGCAGCACCCGAGTGAGCATTAGCACTCAGGTCTGTGTGGGTAACAGGTAAGACTAATGTGGGTGGGGCGCCTGGGTGGCTTAGTCAGCTGAACTTCTGCCTTCCGCTCAGGTCATGGTCCCATGGTCCAGGGATCGAGTCCTGCACTGGGCTCCTTGCTCAGCTGGGAGTCTGCTTCTTCCTCCCCCTTTCCCTCTGTGTGCCTATGTACTCTCTTTCTCTCTAATATATCTCAAAAAAAAAAAAAAAAAAAAAAAAAGAAAGACTAATGTGGGTAAAATCTACATTTCTACTGGTAACACTGGAGTGAGCCTGACTAACAGGCATCTGTGGGGATAATATCTGAGTGAGAGGCTAATGGTCTCTGTGGGTAACTTCTGACTGCCTGGGCAACAGCCAACTAACTCTGTGGATAACAACATCCAGATGAGCAAGGCCAATTCTTGCACCTGTGCTCTTAATCATTTCATGTTATGCTTTCTCAGGGTCCCCTGCTCTGTTGACTATCCCTGCTCTCAGCTATACCTTCAGTCTTCTTCTCTCTTGGCCCATTCTGCATCAACATTTAAAAAAGACTCTTGCCTCTACTGTGCACACGTGCACGTGCACGCGCGCACACACACACACACACACACACCCGAAGACAACTCCCCCACCCCATACACCATTCCTCAACCCCATGCTATTTCTAGCACTATCCTATTTTTTTCTTTGCCTCTCTCTCCCTATCAAACTTTCAGAAAGTTTTGTCTACACACCCTGGTTCACTTTTCAGAATCCCCTCCCCCATTGTCCCAAACTTCAACCTACTGTAGCCAGACCTTAACACCCATAAAGCCTCCTTGATAGGAGGTCCTTGTTACTGGATCTGAAGGATGCTGTTCTGTCCTTATTAGACTTATATCAGCAGCATTTGACATCACTTATCCCATCTTGCTTGAAGTCTTTTCCTTGTCTTCTTGTTTCTCTGTTGGTTTTGTCATGGGCTCTCTCCTTCCTTCACCGGTTTTTAAGTATTGGTCTTCTTCAGGATCCTGCCCTAGGCCCTCTTTTCTTTTCATCCTGCACAGTCTTTGTATGACTTTATCTGTTCCCATGCCTTCCATTACCTCCTATACGCAAAGACCTTTCAGGTCTATATTTCCAGCTGGTACCTCTCCCCTAAGTTCCTGACCACAAGATTTGACAGCTCACTGGCCAATCCCACCTCGGTATATCACCAGCATTTAAACTCAGTGGATTCCAAATTGAATTTATAATCTTCTCCTTCAAACCTGGTTTCTGTCCCTTTCTTCTCTTTCTCATGATATAGCACCAACATCCATCCAATTGTTCAAGCCAGAGACCGAGATGTCATCCCTTGACCTCTTCCTCCCTCTCCATTTCTAATGAATCACCATGTTCTGTTGTTTCCACTTCCAGAAGTGTCTCTCAAATCCACCCACTTCTCTCCATCCCCACTGCAAATACCTTAGTCTAAGCCCACATCGTCTTTCACCAGAGTAGTATAATAGCCTTCTAAACTGTCTCCCCAGCCCCCACCTTTCATGTCTTCTACTCCAATCCATCCTCTCTACTACAGAACTTATTCAGGCTGTACTACTGAGCCTTTCAGCAGTTGCCATTGCCCTCAGGATAAAAATCTACTCTCCTGGGGTGCCTGGGTGGCTCCATCCCTTTCGGGGTAAAGCGTCTGTGTTTGGCTCAGGTCATGATTTCAGGGTCCTGAGATCGAGCCCCTGAGTCATGGGGCTCCCTGCTCAGTGGGGAGTCTGCTTCTCCCTCTCTGTCCCTCCACCCAGCTTGTGCTTACTTTCTCAAATAAATAAATAAATTCTTAGAAAAAAATCCACACTCCTTAGCCAGGTCTGTGAAGCTCTTCGTAAACCCTCTAGGCTGGTCTTAATCCTGAGTGTTGCTTTTTCCTCTCTTATGGTGTGTGTTTCAGGCTCTCAGAAACTGACACACTGAAGGGAAGTACCACCGATTTAAACTTTGGGAGCTTAATCAATACTGTTCCTCTGCTTAGAATGCTTTTGGCCATTCTGGCCCCTTCATGTATCTGGCTCTCCCTCGTCTTTTTTATTTTTATTCAGTTATTCCTCAGGAGGCCAACTTTGATTCCCAAGGCTAAGCTAGGCTAGGCTAGGACTCCTTTTCTTTGTTCCCACAGCCTTCCTAAGGCACAGTCCCACTTTGTGCTGCAATTCCCTGCTTGTCTGTCTCTTCCACTAAACTGTGAGCTCCATGAAATAGGAACTGTTCATTTTGGTGCCTTGCACTAACTCTGGTTCAATAAATATTTGTTGAATGAAAGAATCTAAGTGAGAGTGTGTAACAACGAGTCTGAGAAAACATACATTATTTTGTGGGGGTAAATACTCAAGTATTTACTCAAATACTCATTTTCCTTTCTTGAACATGGAATAATTTCCTTATGCTCAGCACTGTTCCATCTCTTGGAATCCCCCTCCTTTCTTTTCTGCCTACTGAACTCCCTACTTCAAGACCCAGGTCCTGGGCTCCCTCATCTAGGAAGTTCTTGGATTCCATCTCCTTTGGGTGCCCACAATTCAGATGCTCTCCTGGGACTTCTCATGCTGACTATTATTTTCCCGCTGGTTTGTCTCCCCTTTGCACTTGACTATGGACAGATGAGGGTCTGGACTGGGTCTCTTTCATTCCTGTGTCCCCAGCATTTAGCCCAGCTACAACAGTAGGTGTCCAGAAGACATTTAAGGAAAGAAAAGGTGCAGGAAGAGAAAACATATATAGTGAGCTGGGTTATCAAGAAAATGCGGCTGTTGGCCTGTGGGAGGAGGGAAAGTCATTTTGGGGACTGAGTAAGTGGAAGCAGTGGGGGTGGTGGGGGGAGATGGTGGCACAAGGGATAGGAGAAAAAGGGCGAAGTCAGGCTCTAAGAGGAAGAAACCTCAGGAGAGGCAGGTTGGAAAAGGGGCTTGGAAGGGACTTGAAAACAGAAAGAGAGAGGGGACAGAGCCTTGATTAGAATTCCTACCTTGGGAGGCAGGAGGATTTGAGGAGGAGTAAAATGGAGACATGCAGCTCTAGGGAGCAGCCCCCAGTGTCCAGCCTAACTCAGGTTTGAAGATCTCTTTTGGGAAGGCTGGGGGTTGGGGTGGGGGATACTGGAGATTATAACTCTAACTTCCCATGTAAGCCTTCCATAGTGCTCCTTCTTTCAACCAGCCCTCTTCTTTTTTCCCAGTCTTGCCTTCTTTTCTTTCTTTCCTTCCCTATTGTGGCTCTATGAACTGGATTTAAAAGGAAGAGAGACCTGGAGGGCAGGCAAGAGGAGGTCCTTGCTTCCTGACCGTCTGTGTCTAGAAGGAGTCTCTGTGTTATGTGTTTGGGGGTGACCAGTAGCTCTGGGTGCGGCCCGGAGACCGGGGCGTGAAGGGGATCTTATCAGGTGGTATGAAGCTGTGATGGAGTTTTTTTGAGCCTTGGGGTGGGGGTGGGGGCGAGGGGAGAGGGCAGAAGTGTCGGGGGAGCTGTTTGGGGACTGAGAGGGAGGACTGTGAAGGGATGGTGTAGGCGTTTGAGGAGGCAATGGGGGCCACTATCAGTGTGGGGTGCAGCAAGGAGGAGCTGGTGGAGGGGGTTTAGGGGGGCACCCACCTCGTGTCCCGGCTCCGCGGATGCGAGGGGGCTCGCAGCTGAGGTTGCCCGCACCGCTGCTGTTGAGGAGGGCCCCCCCCCGGGCGGCACAGGGAAGCCCCCGGCCCGGTTCCGGACCCCTGCGCGCTCCGATTCAGCTTTAGCAGCTCCATGGCCCTGGCCCAGCCACCGCCTCCCGCCGCTCCGCCAGGAGGGGTCCCGCTGCGGCTCCACCTGCTCCCGCTCGGTTCGGGCGGAGGCTTCCGCCTTGCCTGGTCCCCGCCCCCAACCTTGGCCCCTGCCCCGCCGCTCCTCCTCCGTTCGCCCCGCCTAGGCTCGCCTCGCTCCCAGGCTAGTCTGCCTCGGTCCCGCCAGGTGCCTCTCCGCCCCCCTCCTACGCTCAGGACATCCGCACTCCCCCCACCCACCGGGACTGTCCTTCAGGCTCGCCCCCTCCCTACTCTCTCGCTCCGGTCTTCTAGAGATCTCCTTCCCGCCCACTCCCCTTCACCACCGTCCCGGTTCGGAGGAATTCTTGGGAGTGGGTGTGCGCGCCTGTGTGTGTGTATTTGTATGTGTGTACGCGCCTGTGTGCGTGTGTTGGCGAGGGTAGCGGTGGGGGTTACGGGTGGATGGAGGGGTGGCAGGGTGGGAGGTGGCGGGGTTGAGGGGAGGAGGGTGAGAGGGTTTGGGTGGGGCGCGGCTGCTGTGGGATCTAGCGTTTTTCCCTGGTGGGTCGGGGACCTGGAGGTGGCCTTTTTAACAGAGTGGCATCAGCCGCGGGTTTCTGTACCATGCCGCAGTGGCTCCAGTGACCGCGACACTATCGCTACAGAGTTCCCTATATCTCCTCGCCAAGGGGCTGGAGTAGCCCCTCCATCTGCCCCCACACCCTCCACCTCCCACCTCAGGGCGCAACACCCAGGCTTCCAGCCAAAGCTCCCAAGGAACCCTCCAGAGCGGGCAAGGACGGTGGGGTGGGGAGGCTGCTGGTGGCGGGAAGCATTTGTCCTTGGGGAGTCTTGGCGCGCAAAAGGGCTGAGGGGAGGAAGAGTCTGACTTGGGTGTGAGGCAGCCTGGGTAGCAGAGAGAACTGCTTAGAATAAACGGAGAAGGGTTGGGCTGATGGTGGGGTTTGGTTCCAGCGTCTGCCCAGCACTGGCACAAGAGGAAAGGAGGGGGCTGGCTCTCCTGTCTCCAGGCAGCGCCCACCCACACCGACACACTGACGCTCACTGTTTGCTCTTTGTGCAGGTGGAGCAGCCTGTGTGGGGCGTCAGGTTCCCACCAGAGGGGACCAAAAGGGGGCCAGATCACTGGGGTGCAGCCGGAACAAAGTTTAAGGGGGCATGCAGTGGACCAAAGTGGTGGGTTCAGTTCCTGGGGCAGGACTTGCCCCCACTTACATTTCAGCCCTGCTGGCTATCCATTCTTCTCTATTCCAAGGAAACTCCAACATGACCTTAAAATTCCACTCTCTGGCCCCCAGCAGTATCTGCTGGAGATGGGGGCATCAGTCAAAGAGCAGATAGACTGTGAATGAGGTCTGAGTTTATGGGGAATTCAGAGACCCCTATCCAGTTTGTCCTTGGGAAAGGACCTGTTCCAGCAAGAACTGAGTTTATAGGGGCTGGGGCACTGAAGGAGGATTTAAGCCTGAGGTGGGTGGGGATGTCACCTGTCTCCCCCCACAGCCCCCACCTGGCACTGCCTGCCTTCCCCATCAGAGTGCCCTGGACTAGAAGAGCCTGATTTGCTGTTTGTTCAGCTCCAGCACAGGTGGCATCTCAGATAACCTGCTGGACTTTTCCCACATTGGATGACGGTAGGGTTGGGGGACAGGGAAGCAAAGGAAATGTCGGAGAGAGAGGGGAGGGGAAATAGGAGTAGACGGGCATGCACTTATTCAGCAAAGTATGTGCCAGCTGTAGGGCTGTGTATTAGTTGTCTGATACATCCCGTGTCCGAGTAGCTCCCACTCTCCTGGGGGAAAGTGACAGGTAAGCCAACGATTATGTGCATCTGCGACGATACACAAATCAGAAATTTAGAAATCAGCCTGGCTGCCTTACTCCTTTAGGCACCTTCACCTGGAATAGAGGCTGTGACAAAAGCCCAGACTCCTATCCAAGTACGAGGGATTTATTCTGCAGCTGCTGAGCAGCTTTGAGAAGTCAGTCCTCAACTGCCCAGCCCCTTGGGGAGTCGGCTGAGCCAAGGAATGACTGCTCAGGCAAGATCCTGTTCCCTTCCTGAGGCATCCTGCTTCCAGTGACCAGCTCAGCACAGATGCTCAGCCTCCTCACTCCGACAGAGGACAGTTCTGAAAGACGTGCACAGCTCCTCACGGGGTTGACCAAGGCCTTTATGGGGATGGAATCACTGGCCTGCTTCTGCCTTCACCCGGTCCTTCCTTCATCCTTGCTCTTGCACAGGTCTTGACGCCAGGAGAACTCCTTAGTAAACATCCTCCCCAGTAATCTCTGTCTCAGACTCTGCTTCCTGGGGAACAGAACTGCCTCCCTCCCATAGTCAATCCATCATGAAGCCTGTTGATTTTAGCCACTGAGTGTTCCTCGAATCGGTATGCTTACATCTGCGCCGACATTTCCCACTGTTTCTTGCACTGTTCTCCTCGCTTCTTGTGGTCCACCACCTTTTACTGATGGCCCTTTCATCCATCCTCCACCTTAAAGTCAGAGTGATATGTGCAGAACACAAACCTGATTGTGCCACTCTTCAGACCTTTGCTTTGGGGATAGAGAAAACTTTTTCACAGAGTCTCCGAAGCCTGTGTGGTCTGGCTCCTACTGATCTCTCTAACCGGTTAGCTTCTTTCAAGTCCCTGTGCTTCTTGTTCTCTTCCCTGTAGACACACTGGCCTTTCTTTAGTCCATTTTTGTTGTTGTTGTTGGATATATTCTGCCAGTTACATGGCTTTTGCACATGGTCTCTGGAAACTTTCCTTCCTTATCTAATTAACTCCTGCCATCCTTCTCATCTCAGCTCAAGGTATCAGCATTTCTCAGGGACATTTTTCCTGGTTTCCCCTCCTGTGTAGTGGGCGGAATTATGAAATGGCACCAAAGGATTCTCAGTCTTGCACAGTCGCCTTCCCTAGAGCGTGGGTAGAACCTGAAATATGAGTTGCTACCTTCACGATCCTGTTATATGACAAAAGGGATTTTGCCTATGTAATTAATGTTACTAATCAGTTGACCTCAAGACAAATTATTCAACGAGTCCTAACGGAGTCAAAAGAATTTACTCTGCTTGGCTGCAGAAAAGGAAATCAGAGAGATTTGAAGAAAGGTTTGACACACTGTTGTTGGCTTGAAGAGGGCCGGGGCCATGTGGTAAGAAATGCAAGGGCCTGTGGCTGGTTTGAGGAAGGAGCAGGGTGCAGAATGGGTACCTGAGAGTGGGCTCTAGCTGAGAGCAGCTTCTGGCTGACAGCCAGCCAGAAAACAGCAACATTAGTCTTTTGCCCACATGGAACTAGATTCTACCAATGACAAGAATGAGCTTGGAAGTGGGTATTTCCCTCCCCAAGAACCCAGAACAGAATTTCATCTGGCTGACACCTTAACCTCTGCCTGGTGACACCCTGAGCAGAGGACCCAGCCATACTGTACCAGACTTTTGGCCCACATGCCCACAACCTACTAAGCGGATATTGTTTTAAGCTTCCAAATTCATGGTAATTTGTTGTAGTAGCAATAGAAAATGAACACACCTCTCAGTCACAGAAAGTAGCAAATACAGACCCCTGCAAGCCACTCAAGGAAGTAGAAGTGCTGGAAATTGGTTAAGATTTAGAAAGATTTGGAGTAACCGCTATGGCAGCTGGTGTGGAGAGCAGCTGGAGCATCTTGAGGCATTGGGAGTCCATGACATAACTCAGGTGACCTTAACTCAGGCTTGAGTTAAAGTCCTGGAAGCAGTGGGGAAGATGGGTCCTGGAGCTATTTAGGAGGTAGACAGAATTTAGAGGTTGCTTGCATGTGGAGAGTGAGGATGAAGGATGAGATTAAGATGAATACGGTTTCTGGTACTTGGATAGGAACTGTTTGGTGAACACCTACTCTGTTCAAAGCACATTACTTTTAATCCTCACCAAGAACTATACATTTCAGTCCAGTATGACTGGTCAGTATTTTAGCTGAAAAAACTGTGGCTCAGAGAGAGAGGGTCTAAGTAACTTGCCCAAAGCCACAAAACTACTGGGTGAAAAAGTTACAATTCAATGCCAATGATTTTGGACATCAGAATTCAGGTGCTTATACGATGATGCTTACAAGAATGAGCAAAAGTTTTATTAAATTTCTCTGATCACCTTTCTCTTCTTTTACACAATAGTTTTTCCAATGTTTTTGGACTTGTAAAATCTCTCATGTCATCTCCACCACCCCTCCCCCAGCCGACACCACTCACGCATACCATCCTTCACTCACAATAAATAACCCGGCCTCCCACTTCATAGAGAAAATAGTAACCATCAGACAGCAACTCCCACCAGCGAATCTGTTCCATTTTGGATGTGGTAAGTTTCAGATGCTTATTAGACATCCAAGTAGGAATTCCAGTAGGAAGCTGAGTATACAGGTTGCATAGGAAGTAATGCAAACCATACAATTAATGAGAGTGTGTTAAATAAAAAATGAGGAACCAGGTCAGAAATCTGGATATTTAAAGGCTGTATATTTAATATTTAAAGGCTGGATAGAGAAAGGCCAGCCTGGGAAAGAGACCAAGAGGAGTAGACAGAGAGCTGGGAGGAAAACAAGGGGAGAAAGCCATCATAAAAAAAAAAAGAAAAGAAAAGAAAGGAAAAACAGAACAGAAAGGAGAAAGGGGTGGAGAGGCAGAAAGAGAGAGGAGGAAAGAAAGGAGAGAGGGACACAGAGAGAGAGAAGTTAATTAATTTCTAATGCAAGATTCCTGAGAAGGCAGGGAGGTATGGAATCCAGAGCACGTGTGGAAGGTTCTAGGTTTTGATAGGAGTAGATACTCAATTGTAAGAGGAAGTTAGAAGAGAATAGTTATAGATGAAAATAAGTCACGGCTGACCAGCTAGCAACTATTATTTCCTAGATGCATTGGCAGCTAAGTGTGGCTTAATGACCGTGTTCTGGACGGTGGCTGTGGGTAGAAGTGTTATAGGAGAGGACTG